TACTATACATTACATGTTCCACAGATATCTGGTAGGTACTACACATTACATGTTCCATATATCTAGATATCTGGTAGGTACTACACATTACATGTTCCATATATCTAGATATCTGGTAGGTACTATACATTACATGTTCCATATATCTAGATATCTGGTAGGTACTATACATTACATGTTCCATATATCTAGATATCTGGTAGGTACTATACATTACATGTTCCACAGATATCTGGTAGGTACTACACATTACATGTTCCACAGATATCTAGATATCTGGTAGGTACTATACATTACATGTTCCACAGATATCTAGTAGGTACTATACATTACATGGTCCACAGATATCTAGATATCTGGTAGGTACTATACAAAACATGTTCCACAGATATCTGGTTGGTACTATACATAACATGTTCCACAGATATCTGGTAGGTACTATACATTACATGTTCCACAGATATCTGGTAGGTACTATACATTACATGTTCCACAGATATCTGGTAGGTACTATACATTACATGTTCCATATATCTAGATATCTGGTAGGTACTACACATTACATGTTCCACAGATATCTAGATATCTGGTAGGTACTATACATTACATGTTCCACAGATATCTAGTAGGTACTATACATTACATGTTCCATATATCTAGATATATAGTAGGTACTATACATAACATGTTCCACAGATATCTGGTAGGTACTATACATTACATGTTCCACAGATATCTAGATATCTGGTAGGTACTATACATTACATGTTCCATATATCTAGATATCTAGTAGGTACTATACATTACATGTTCCACAGATATCTGGTAGGTACTATACATTACATGTTCCATATATCTAGATATCTGGTAGGTACTATACATTACATGTTCCATATATCTAGACATCTGGTAGGTACTATACATTACATGTTCCATATATCTAGATATATAGTAGTACCATACATTACACGTATATCTGGATATGTGGACTATGTAATGTATGGTAGCGACTAGTCATTTGAAGCTTCCCATTTCCAGGAAAAGATAATACATTTAAAAAGTTCTTCAAATACATTCTTCAAATGTTTTATCATACTCTGGATTATGCATATACCTTCAAAATTAGTTGTATGGTAACTCCTGAAATATTTCAGAATGTGTTCCCTACACAAACATCAACAATGTAGATATATTATTATATATTTATATTTTGTGTATCTAGCAGTGAAAACAAATGAAATAGAATCCTGAAAATGATGTGTCGGAATGAAACTGTTTGCCAACCATAAAAAAAAATGCTTTTCAATGTTTTTATTTTTCTGAATTGTGAAATGAAGAACTGACATACAATGATGTAGTAATGGTGTTTTGAAGGATTTAGACAATGTTAATTAATGATCACCATGGTGTTATGGTTGATAAGAAGGAAACAGACAATGTTAATTAATGATCACCATGGTGTTATGGTTGATGAGAAGGAAACAGACAATGTTAATTAATGATCACCATGGTGTTATGGTTGATGTTAATTAATGATCACCATGGTGTTATGGTTGATGAGAAGGAAACAGACAATGTTAATTAATTATCACCATGGTGTTATTGTTGATAAGAAGGAAACAGACAATGCTAATTAATGATCACCATGGTGTTATGGTTGATAAGAAGGAAACAGACAATGCTAATTAATGATCACCATGGTGTTATGGTTGATGAGAAGGAAACAGACAATGTTAATTAATGATCACCATGGTGTTATGGTTGATAAGAAGGAAACAGACAATGCTAATTAATTATCATGGTGTTATTGTTGATGTTAATTAATTATCACCATGGTGTTATGGTTGATGTTAATTAATGATCACCATGGTGTTATGGTTGATGTTAATTAATGATCACCATGGTGTTATGGTTGATGTTAATTAATGATCACCATGGTGTTATGGTTGATGTTAATTAATGATCACCATGGTGTTATGGTTGATGTTAATTAATGATCACCATGGTGTTATGGTTGATGTTAATTAATGATCACCATGGTGTTATGGTTGATGATAAGGAAACAGACAATGTTAATTAATGATCACCATGGTGTTATGGTTGATAAGAAGGAAACAGACACTATGTTAATTAATGATCACCATGGTGTTATGGTTGATAAGAAGGGAACAGACAATGTTAATTAATGATCACCATGGTGTTATGGTTGATAAGAAGGAAACAGACAATGTTAATTAATGATCACCATGGTGTTATGGTTGATGTTAATTAATGATCACCATGGTGTTATGGTTGATAAGAAGGAAACAGACAATGTTAATTAATGATCACCATGGTGTTATGGTTGATAAGAAGGAAACAGACAATGTTAATTAATGATCACCATGGTGTTATGGTTGATGTTAATTAATGATCACCATGGTGTTATGGTTGATAAGAAGGAAACAGACAATATGTTAATTAATGATCACCATGGTGTTATGGTTGATAAGAAGGAAACAGACAATGTTAATTAATGATCACCATGGTGTTATGGTTGATGTTAATTAATGATCACCATGGTGTTATGGTTGATGTTAATTAATGATCACCATGGTGTTATGGTTGATAAGAAGGAAACAGACAATGTTAATTAATGATCACCATGGTGTTATGGTTGATAAGAAGGAAACAGACATGTTAATTAATGATCACCATGGTGTTATGGTTGATTCCTTAAAACAAAATAACAATACAAAGATATCATCCTCCGAATGACTTTATGGTTTCACAGAATTTGTTTTCTTTCTCCACTTACTAAATAACTTTGCACTAAGCTTCAAGGCTAATAAATACAACACTACATCTCTCTCTTCTATCACATGTATTTCGTGCATGATTCGTTTAAAACCTTTTGTTATCAAAGAGAATTCTTTTCATAGACAAGTCACTATATACACAGATAATAACAATTCACAAAATAAATGGTTTTATGTGTAACAACAATTTAATTATGTGTAACAACAATTTAATTATGTGTAACAACAATTTAATTATGTGTAACAACAATTTAATTATGTGTAACATCAGTTTATAAATGATTAAATCACTGCACAACAACAACATTTTCATCTAAACTTAACCCCTACAACTATTATATGATGCACCATTGTCAAATATAGAATTATATATGTACAGAGTATTTAAAAAAAAAAATCCCAGCAGGAGGGGAAGGGAGTGGCATGACGATCACAAAATGAGTCCTCTTCATTGGAGAGGGGAATTATTTGCAGTTAAATATGGTAAGCTCTGAATAATGTATATATCATTTGTATGAGAGATCAATATTCATTTAAATATTGTTATTATGCCTGAAATAATTCTATTCGTAGTTTGAATTATTAAATACAAAATTATTTTAATCTTGTTGATTACGAGCAGCTGTATTGGGCAGTATCATTTCTCTAAAGAGATATTCAACACAATAAGTCAGGATTTCATATTAAAAATTCACAACAGGGTCTACTTATGTTGTTATAGAAAGAGTACACCTCAGTTCACTATATAAACAAATACATAAAATATTCAATTTGTGGAAATTCTATATTGATCTACCTGTAGCTACACAAACAGCTCAACCATGACTGAGCAAAAAAAGGTTTGCTTTTTATTAGCCAAACTGTATAAAATACATTTGTGTATATTTTAAAATTAACAACAAAGAAGCCAAAAGAAGCAACAGAATTCTGATCCCAGCAGAAATCATAGATGAACAGTGTACAGACCTGTGTATTTATCCAACACTCTGCATAAAATGTAGGACAAAGTCAGCGAGTTCTGGACTCCCCCAATGTACTATATTTACCTGGTAGACAGTCTAATTTCGTATTGGTACAGAGTATTTCCACCAATTTAAAGCAACATCAAATGATTTTTATTTGTTCAGGACGTTTTCTATTTCATATATTTAGAATTGATATCAAATGTTAAAACCTTCGCACATTAATATTTTAATCAATATAATTATACAACAGAAATCCCTAACTGTTCATAAACAGTCTGGATATGTAAATTATTACGTCATTTATGATAATGCATGCCCAGAATACATACCACCTGTAAATAAATGTCTGAAAAACAGGTGTTTACGAACTGTGTCACAACTGTTCCTGTCATTTGTCTCCACCATCATATATTTGTGTTTACAAATGAACTGCCTTGATTTTAAAACTGCCATGCGATGTTTTCAGTTCTATATTTGAGAAAAGTTTCTTAAATAAGTTGAGTGGTCAAGCTAGATACTGAAAATCAATGGTGAATATTCGAATGGCATAGAAACATAATGGGACGTGTATAAACATGTACGATTAATTTAAAAAATGTTTTTACTGTACGTCGCTATAAAAGAGGTCAGAAAGATTTCTAAAAAGGTGCAAAACAGCCAGAAATTGGTGCAAAACACCCCTATAATATACTATAACATAAACAAGATGGGTCTTACTGAGTTAACTTTTTTTTAAGCATTATGGTCCCCTAACATTTAGAAAATGTGGAAATTTTAAAAGGAATTTTACATTACAAAAAATGAGAAGATGATTAAAGGTCTTCTTGATATGACAAAGAAATGGAAATGTCTTTGAAATACCTACACACCATAATATAGACGTGCTTATAACACAACCAGTAGAAGATTAGAGTGTGACGTTTTGATGACTACACGGTCACACATATCAGACAAATGACCAGTACCATCTCGTACACTACGTACATAAGTGCTAGTACGTTCCACACTGGTAATTGGTCTGATGAAGGTGACTGTGTAGTCATTGTAACATCATACTCTAATCTTCTGCTAGATGTGTTATAAAAACTTCTGTTCTATTGACATTACCAACCTGAAGAAAATTTTCCAAAATATTCCTACACACCATGCTGTACAGCCTGTATGGGCAAAGACAGTTATAATAAATGGATCAGCAACTTTTAAATGGGTGTCAAATTTCCCTCAAAACCATTAGGTATTACTTAGTTGTTGAACGTTGTCTGTCTGAAGACTGCACGAAAGCTTGCAGGTTTTTGAAGAACAGCATGAGATCTCTAGCTACGTTTTGCTTCATGTCATTCCAGTGATCACGACAATTCTCACGGTCATCATTACTGTCTCGTGTCGACATGGCCCAGGAGCTCTCCGTCGTACTCATATAGTCAGTATTTGCAGTTACCCATTGTTGAGTCAGATAGGACATCAGTTTCTCGTAGATCTTTGCCTCAACATCCTCACTGACAGGTCGCAGTTTCTCTATCACCTTCACCATGTATAGGATAGTGTTTCGAGAACCCTGTTAGTAAAAAATACATCACTTAGGACAAGCTGTAAAAACATTTTTTTAATGTGCTTTGGTTGAATTTTCTGTTGTAATGTTTTGAATTATTTCACCTCTAGAGAGTCAAATCTTGAAAAAAAACAAGATAAATGGGAATAAAAATAGACATTATAATAATACATGTATTGGAAATGAATTTCAAATCATACACATGTAGTTTTATAGGATATGCATGGCTGAAGCATATTAAGTAAGGAATAGTATACACCTGTCAAATGCCAAAGAAACAATCTGAATTTGTTGTATTGAAAAGAATATAGATATAACACTGGTAATAATGAGTCAAATGTCAAGAGAGATAACAGCACGATATGTTAATGAATTCACAAAATACACATTATTGTATGGAAAGGACAAATTATAGGGATCAGTGCCTCCTGGCTTTCATCAGAAAGAGTAGGGATGATATCATGATACCTTTAAATGATATAGGGAGTGGGGACACATGAATGCAGGGTGATTAGAGATGTACAATATAACCTGAATAAAGTGGCTCCTGTCTTATTCAGATCCCTGTTGATACTTTCCTTCATGTTTGGTCCTAGTATCTTCTTTTTTTTTAATTCCGGCAAAACTAATCTACAACTTTTTTGTTTTAGTTGCCAATTTATTTAGAAAATGATAGCTGAAATAACCAAGACAGTTCATGAATAAACATGGATTCTGGTCACATTGTACTAGATTATGAGAAGCCATATAAGTAATTAAGCTGTGATTTTAAACCTTGGCCTCTGATGGTCCAATGACATTCACTAGACCACAAATATCTCACTGTACATGTACACATCCTGAACAAATTTTGCAACAATTTTGAAGAAAGAAAAACACAATAAAGAAAACATCTTTGAAGTAACATATGTAATTTTTTTTCACTGTTTGAGTTTAGATTCGGTGAGACTTACACATTGTATTTTGAAAATCAAGATCTCCCAACCCCTATAATCTGGAAACCTCTATTATTAAGAAAGAAGTTTGATAAATGTAGCATTACAATCATAGTGATACTCTCAACCCTTACTTGCTTGAACTTCCGCAATATTTTGTTTTGTATAATGTGTACATGTAAAATTTGAATTGCCTGAATTGCTATCCATTTAGGAATTGACTATAATTCATTTGATGATTTTGATATCTATATTCCTAAATAAATTCTGTCAACAGATTTTTACCTGTATTACTGATAGGATAAAGCTGGTGACACGAACATTGCATTTCTATTTTATTCAAACCTTCAGCTATTTTGTAATGAAGTATTAATTGAAATGTTCATAATTGTACAAAAGGATGCTTATATTAACATTTTTTTTTCTAATTGCTAACTTCAGGTATCAACACAGGCCTGCTACAACATGGACAAAGTGTGGTGATACTGGAACATCCAAGTCATTCTGTGCCATCATAGCCAGCAAGTATCTTTCTCCTCACCATTTATTTATATGGAAGATTAAAATTATTTCATCTAAGTTATGTGTTGTTGTTTGTAACTTCTAGTAAATGCTATATATATAGAGAGAGAGGTTGTTAGCCAAAACGTTGGCTGGAGAAGGGTGAAAATTCATTTTGAAGCAAATTGACAGATTTTCTTTAGTTCATTAAATATTCTTGGGAGTTAAGGTGTTATATCATACCAAATGTTTTAAGAAATAAGAAATCTCTGGACAAGATTAAAATGTTGAGAACAAATTTATGGGAAATAACTTTCTGAAATATTGTCGGATCAAATGTTATTCATGAGAATACAATGCCATGTTGTAGTTTTCAAGCCTACAACCTTTGATAGAAATAGGTTGAAAACTGACGGAAGGGATGTCTGGTCAAGATAATAATTCAGCCCAGCATGCTCAAGGCCCAATATCAGCACCCTTGGCATTTTGGTTATTAAGAAGAAGTTGTTTGAATAGAAAATTTATGCACAACACACTACAACAGATAAAATTAAATGGCTGTGGTATATGTCATCTATCCCCTTCAGATAACCTAAAAATTGAAATCCAAGTTGGGCAGTACATGTGAGTTATGGGGTACTCTCAACACTATTTGATGAACATGTTTATCAATCTTGTGTTACTGTCAACCTCAAGTCCCATATACCTTCTCCAATTTCTGCAGTCCAGTTTCAGGGTCATCTTTATAGGGCAGTATGCTTTTGAGATCCTGGGTCCGTAGAATAGGTTCCTACAAACAAAAATATTAAAAGTGTAACACTTACTCACATACCATATAGATCAATACAATTCTTAAATTAAAATATAAAAAGAGAGAAAACAATTCTACACTTAACATTCAAACAAGAGGCAAAATGGGCCAGCAGAACTCACTTTGTAATCAACACTTTTCACAGATATATTTCACATCCTTGATTTCAGGAATTTAACACTCAAATATCACGATTCTAGACCTTTCAGTCAAACAGAAGAGGTCATTTGAAAGTTGTAACAAATTTGACCACTGTGACTTTGAATAGGGGTCAGATTTCATTCCAGGAACTCACCAGCCAAATTTAAAGATTCTAGATTTTTTGCAGGGAAAAGTACTTGTCTAATATCAAGGACCTATGCTTTTTGGCTATTGAGAAGTTGTTTGAAGGTTCTAACAGATTTGAACCCTGTAACCTTAAACATGAGTCTAGCCATTTCTTTTCACCAACTTTTATGGACTTCATCCCTGGAACCAACCATAGATATCAAGATGCTAGGCGGTAATCAGAAGTACATACATAGTTGTCTAAAGGATTCAACAATTTGACCCCTGTAATTTTGCCTTTAGGTCAAGATCATTTCCTTTTACAAACATTGTTGGCCAAATCCTACTTTTATAAACCAGTGGAGTACTCATTCATTTGATGTAATAATATGTGTTGCATACCTTTAGATGGTCAAGCCACTCCCACAAGATAAGGGAGACAACCCCAGGATCTGTTTCTTTTGCAAGCTCAGCCCATGCATCATCTTTTTCATTAAGATCCGTCTTCAGGAAAAAGAATGAAATTTCTTTTAGTATAAAGAAAACAAAGCTTTATATATGGTTCTATTCTATTTTTTTAGTCAAAAACCTATAAATACTAAAGGGCTTACAAGACAAAACAATAGGGACTTTGGTGCCCACCATTGTTTGATCTTTATTTGCTTACTGAAAGTTGGATCTTTTCCCTTCTTTTGTCTTTTCTTCTCTGTTTTTGCTCTTAATGATGAGACATTTGAACATTCCTTTGCAGAAACAGCAATGATAATTTTTACCTGACAAATCCAAAATGGCCATCTGGAAGCCAATGTGTTTCTTCTGATCAGTCCGAAAATCAAACAGGCACATGAAGAGATCAAAGGAAACATATGTATGAAATTTGAGAGAAATTCTTCAGTACTTCTTAAGAAATAGGGATAACAATCTTATTTAGGTGAAACCAAAAATGACTTCCAGCCATTTTGTTTTTCTGATCAGTCCCATATTCTAACACGCACAACTAGGGACCAAAAGGAACCTATACATGAAATCTGAGAAATCTAAAAACCATTTCTCAAGAAATTGCAATAACAAACTTTCAGAGTCAAAATCTAAAATGGCCATTTGTCAGCCATTTTCTTTCCTGATCAGTCCCAAAATTACATTGGCACAACTATAGACCAAGTGGAACCTACATAAGCGATTTGAGAAAAATAAATCCAGTACTTTTCAAGAAATAGTGTTAACAAAAATTGTTTACAGAGGGACAGATGGACATAGGACCATGGACACAGGGCTATCTGAACAGCCCACCATCTGATGATGGTCGGCTAAAAAAAGAAACAAAAATAAAAGCCAAACAAGCCAAAACAAAATATGAAGCCATTATCAATATCCCACCTCATGTTTATCAGCCTTGTCATACACTTCTTGTGAATATGATGTGGCACCAAGCTCTGCAGCTACATCACCCGGGGTGTACTTCCTTCTAATGTCAATAGATTTTGACTTTGTGACCTCCTCCCCCTGGTCCCCTTCAAGACTTGTGTCTGGGGACAGGTTTCTTGAGCTGGTATCAGACTGATTATCAGCTGGCACTTGCAATGTCTTGAGTTTTTCATCCTTCAGATCTTCCAAAGTGAGACTCCTTGTGCGAGACAGAGGCAGTTTGTCCTTTGGTACCATGATATTCTTACTTGATGATGTAGCCAGTTCATCTAATGATGATTTCGACTCATTACGTGGAAGTCCTTTCACAACTTCTGCTACTGGAATGTCCTTTAAATGTTCTTTATGAACTTCATTTTCACTAGAATTTATAAATCTGGATAAAGAGTTTCCTAGCTGTGCTAGTTCTAGTAGTCTTTCACATGTCACATATATGATCTGTAAAAACAAAGGATTGAAAAGAAGTCCTCAATGGACAGACAAAGCGGCAACCAAATGCTTCCCCAAAAATTTTTGAGAAGCATAAAATGAAAAGGAAATCTCTAAGCCTAGAAATCTTATCAGATCTAAACCACTTATATAAATGTTTATATACAGTGACTAGATCAGTCTACTAATGCAGTATTTTCTGATTTTTAAATAACAAATTTAATGCTGACATATTGATAAATGAACATATGTACAAAATTTTGCATATTGTTTGCTGAACATACAACTTCAAAATGTACTGACAGCACACCTGGATAAAAATAAACTTTCATTCAATAACACTGTCTCACAATCTGTACATATCTGATTAAATTCAGCATCAAACCTCGGTTATAAACCGAATGTTTCATTTGAAATTTGTGTCAAAGCTATTTTACAGTTACAGTAGTTAACATGCCATAAGCTATCAATAGCCAACATAAACACCTGATACCAATTCTGATTCAAAGTTGGTATAGACTTATTACACAGCGGGACGAGGAAATAGGATTTGTACTACTGAAAACATATAACTCTGTGTAGATGGGCCTTCGGCATGGACTTAATGGCTCATAAATACAGAATACAATCATTTTTGTTAATATTCCTTGATGATGAAAATTTCCTAAATCATACATTTTTCGGTAATAGATAGGAATAATTTCTATAATGTAATGAATCAGATGATAGCTTGAGTGTGCCTAGGTTACAACAGTTGTACCAGATTGAAAACGTGTATAAAACTATTGAAAAGTATGATGTTAGGGCTCACCTATAAAACAATATAAATCAGAAGGATATTAATCAGACTATCTGGTCATTCATTTATAATAACAGGCATACATAAATGATCTGATACAAGGTCTTTGCATCTTCCATTTCTTTTGCTTTTGAAAGTAAAATACTGAGATGCTTACTTTTGGCACAAACTTCAATTTCCTAGCTTCATATCCATGTAACATATGTTTCTGTCTGTTTAAAAAGTGGAGTAGTGTAAATTCATGAGTGTCTTTAGCCCTGGAAAATATGAATATAAAAAATAATTCAACAAGGTATCAAAAATTATATATAAATCAATAAAACATCACAGATAATTATAATCAATAAAAGATCACAGATAATTATAATCAATAAAACATCACAGATAATTATAATCAATAAAACATCACAGATAATTATAATCAATAAAATTTCAACTAAATGTCAAAGATAAAATACAATTAAATAGCACATAATAATCAAATTCTAATTCAGCGAAACATAAAATATATATATATATACATATAAATATAATTCAACAAAATATTAAAAAATTAATATATTTCAAAAAACTTTTTCAAAATAAAATATAATTCAGTAAAATATAAAAAATAAAGTAAAATTAAACAAAATATTAAAAATTAGATATAAGCCTGCAAAGTATCACAAATGAAATATGATTCAACAAGATTTGAAATAAAATATAATTCAGTAAGATGTTATCATGTGATATCATAATCTAGGTAGAAGTGGATACTTACTTTGATGCAAAAACAATTCTAAATGGTTTCAAATAGGCATCAAACTCCTGTATAATTTCCATCTGTCCTCGTGTTTGTATAGAACTTGGCCTTAAAGAACAGATTAAAGCAATATCAAAAACTATGTAACTGCCAAAACATCAGATGAATACATAAAAATGAAGATTTTAAAAAAATGGAAGACAGGATGAATAATACTGGCATAATAATTGGATTGTGTTTCAAGTAATAAAATAAAAATCCTGTTCATTCCAAATACAACTTCTAATTTCATTACATACAGAAAGTAAATAGATGTTACAATTTTAAACTATCTACTAGATCCTGTATATAGTCTGGTAAGGTTTTCATAAAAAACATCCTGATGACTTGTGAGGACCTCCTATATCATGTGGTAAAATTTACCTACCTCTGAGATCTAACATAGTGGATGTCAGTGTTACCAGAGATCTAAGTCCTCGGGGCCATCATTACTTACCTCTGAGATCTAACGTAGTGGATGGCAGTGTTACCAGAGATCTAAGTCCTCGGGGCCATCATTACTTACCTCTGAGATCTAACGTAGTGGATGTCAGTGTTACCAGAGATCTAAGTCCTCGGGGCCATCGTTACTTACCTCTGAGATCTAACATAGTGGATGTCAGTGTTACCAGAGATCTAAGTCCTCGGGGCCATCATTACTTACCTCTGAGATCTAACGTAGTGGATGGCAGTGTTACCAGAGATCTAAGTCCTCGCAGCCATCATTACCTACCTCTGAGATCTAACATAGTGGATGTCAGTGTTACCAGAGATCTAAGTCATAGTGGCCATCGTTACTTATCTCTGAGATCTAACATAGTGGATGGCAGTGTTACCAGAGATCTAAGTCATAGTGGCCATCGTTACTTACCTCTGAGATCTAACATAATGGATGTCAGTGTTACCAGAGATCTAAGTCCTCGGGGCCATCGTTACTTACCTCTGAGATCTAACATAATGGATGGCAGTGTTACCAGAAATTCTGTTTGTGAAGACTAAATAGGTTGCTATCATCACCCCTGTTCGTCCTGCAACCAGCAGAAATCGGTACATGTAGGACATTTCATTTTCTTCAACAAAATGTATTTGGAAAGACATCATGATTTTTTTACTGGCAACATAATTCATGTACATTACGTTTTTCTATCACATCAGTTTTTGATGCTGTCAAGGAATCTGTGAAAAGCATGTCATGAAAACTTAATTTTACTGTACTTTAATACACACTAATTAGATACTGTCATAATTTGAAAAGCTGAATACTTATCAAAGTTTACACAGAAAGGGAATACTTCATCACTGAATTTTTTGATAGCCTCTGATGACAAATTAATGTCCTTTTGAAAATGATAACACGATGATGATGATGATGATGATGATGATGATGGTGGTGGTGGTGGTGTTGGTGGTGACAGCTTGGGAGTATCAAGCATGCAAGATGAATGATAATCTACTTGTAAATTAATTTGCTAAAAATCACGTCTTAATATGTTATAATAAAAAATTTGAAAAATTGAAAAAATACCAAGAAAATGATATGTGAGCCTCCATTTTTCAACTTCTGGTTTACTGAATTTTTTTACACAAAAATTTTGTTTTGAAACAAAATAGGCTGATAACTAGTATAAAATTGTCCTAATTGAAACTCAAACCAAGCAAATACGTAAACTAAAATGTTCAATTTGATCTGTTCATTTTTTACCAACTTTCCAAAAAAGATGTTGCCATGCTCAGGTAAATGTTTTCAAACCACATGGATTCCTTCAAACCTTGGCCAAATATTTCAGTTTACTTTGACAGTAATTTAGTTTACTTACCTAGACCAGCATGACAATGGACAGCGACCTTGCCCTCTGATATAGCAAATTGCATGACCTTCACCATGTCAAGTATAGAGCTTAGTGATCCTACACCATAGTCTGGCCTAAAGGCAGAGTAAAATATCAAAGTTTAACCAACATAATGACCTTCAGAGATAAATGTACGACCTTCACCATGTCAAGTATAGAGTTTGCTGACCAAGGTTGTACTGAAGTAGTAAAAATGAAGTTAATCTCTTGAAGGTGACATGAGTAAAAGAATTTTACAGAATGAACTGCCAAGTTTTAAAAATCATTGTGTAACCTTATCAGTGCTAAATTTGAGAGGAGTTTCCTGAACCAAAGAAGTGGTCAAGCTGGACATTGGAAATCAACTGTAAATATCGGGATACCATAGAAACGTAAGCAGAAATGTATAAAACATGTACAACCAGTAATAATATGTTTTTACTGTGATGTCCCTTTAATGTAATGTAGTCCGTGGTCAAACTGCTGAGAATTAATTTATACTTACCAGCAAAAATTGTAGAAATAAACTGAAAAAATAGGGAAAAAACAATGGTTTAGATCCAACAAGATTAACTGAAATCTGCATAAACGCAGGAGAAAAAAATTGTTCGCTTCACAACTTAAGAAATGTGATCCCTAAAATCAGGCCTCAGTATTGTCATATTTTATCTGCCTGAAGAGTTCCTCAGTGTAGAGAAACATGTGTATGTTGTATATATATATACCTATATGATAGTTTTTGTTGGCACTTTAGCAGAAAAGGAAAAGATTGTGGATAGGGATGAGGGCATTATTATGAAATATAGGCTTACTACTAGGTGAATAAATCTGTCAACAAACTGTCAGATGTAAACAGGGATTTTTCTGTCTACATCATCAACAGGTGATTGACTAATTACATTTCTGATTATCAAATACTAGAGTGTTTGATAGACTTACTGTCATTATCCATAAATCTCTGAGGAGTGTAGGAGAAGCCACTACTAGGCAGTACTCCATAGCCACAGTCAGCATGTTCACCCTGGGACTGCATGTTAATGATAGTCCTGATACCCATACTGTAAAATAACAGTTGTACTATATGTACCCATTCTATATTAACAACACACACTAATGTCAATATGTAGTATAATAAATATTTATATGTACACAAACTTTATTATAAAATATACATATACATAAATATATAATTCTGATCTATTGTATAATACAACAAACAGGATACATGTATAGTCCCGATTTACAGTGTCTGTATGTATACATATATAATTTAACTTCTAGAAAACATTGTACATCATCTGAATATATATAAATATACAGGAAATATCAACAGGATAAATTACAGGCTCAAAAATGTTAGCAAAACTAATCTATTGTTCTGTAGCCATAAAATTCTAATCAGGAATAGAGTGTGATGTGACTACTGTATACATATATATATATAAACCAAATCAATTTTCCAGGTTATTGATATCTAATACACATTACAGTTTTAAATTACTATGAACTGCAACACGTACACACAGGATGATCTCACTAACCAAGTGAATACTTTATAACAAACCCCTATCTGCTGGCCATCTTTAAACATACTAAGTGATAAATTATACCTGTTTTGTAACTTGAATTTTAAAAACATCAGCTGTTATTTACTGACTGAGGTGTTATATAGACGTTTACTTGACTATCAGTACATTCTGTTACTTACTGATTGAGGTGTTATATAGATGTTTACTTGTCTATCAGTACATTCTGTTACTTACTGATTGAGGTGTTATATAGATGTTTACTTGTCTATCAGTACATTCTGTTACTTACTGATTGAGGTGTTATATAGATGTTTACTTGACTATCAGTACATTCTGTTACTTACCACTGGTACTGACTTGTCTATCAGTACATTCTGTTACTTACTGATTGAGGTGTTATATAGATGTTTACACTGGTACTGTTGTTATATAGATGTTTACTTGTCTATCAGTACATTCTGTTACTTACTGATTGAGGTGTTATATAGATGTTTACTTGACTATCAGTACATTCTGTTACTTACCACTGGTACTGACTTGACTATCAGTACATTCTGTTACTTACTGATTGAGGTGTTATATAGATGTTTACTTGACTATCAGTACATTCTGTTACTTACTGATTGAGGTGTTATATAGATGTTTACTTGACTATCAGTACATTCTGTTACTTACCACTGGTACTGACTTGTCTATCAGTACATTCTGTTACTTACCACTGGTACTGACTTGATCAGTACATTCTGTTACTTACCACTGGTACTGACTATCAGTACATTCTGTTACTTACCACTGGTACTGACTTGACTATCAGTACATTCTGTTACTTACCACTGGTACTGACTTGACTATCAGTACATTCTGTTACTTACTGATTGAGGTGTTACATAGATGTTTACTTGTCTATCAGTACATTCTGTTACTAAATGATTGAGTTGTTATATAGATGTTTACACTTGTCTATCAGTACATTCTGTTACTTACTGATTGAGGTGTTATATAGATGTTTACTTGACTATCAGTACATTCTGTTACTTACCACTGGTACTGTTGTTATATAGATGTTTACTTGTCTATCAGTACATTCTGTTACTTACCACTGGTACTGACTTGACTATCAGTACATTCTGTTACTTACCACTGGTAGATGTTTACTTGTCTATCAGTACATTCTGTTACTTACCACTGGTACTGTTGTTATATAGATGTTTACTTGTCTATCAGTACATTCTGTTACTTACCACTGGTACTGACTTGTTATCAGTACATTCTGTTACTTACTGGTTGACTTGTATAGATGTTTACTTGTCTATCAGTACATTCTGTTACTTACCACTTGTTTACTTGTCTATCAGTACATTCTGTTACTTACCACTGGTACTGACTTGTTATATAGATGTTTACTTGTCTATCAGTACATTCTGTTACTTACCACTGGTACTGACTTGTTATATAGATGTTTTGTCTATCTACATTCTGTTACTTACCACTGGTACTGTACATTCTGTTACTTACCACTGGTACTGTTGTTATATAGATGTTTACTTGTCTATCAGTACATTCTGTTACTTACCACTGGTACTGACTTGTCTATCAGTACATTCTGTTACTTACCACTGGTACTGACTTGTCTATCAGTACATTCTGTTACTTACTGATTGAGGTGTTATATAGATGTTTACTTGACTATCAGTACATTCTGTTTACTTGACTTGACTATCAGTACATTCTGTTACTTACCACTGGTACTGACTTGTCTATCAGTACATTCTGTTACTTACCACTGGTACTGTTGTTATATAGATGTTTACTTGTCTATCAGTACATTCTGTTACTTACCACTGGTACTGACTTGACTATCAGTACATTCTGTTACTTACCACTGGTACTGTTGTTATATAGATGTTTACTTGTCTATCAGTACATTCTGTTACTTACCACTGGTACTGACTTGTTATCATACATTCTGTTACTTACTTGTACTATCAGTACATTCTGTTACTTACCACTGTACATTAGATGTTACTTACTTGACTGGTACTATAGACTTACCACTGGTACTACTTGAGTACATTCTGTTACTTACCACTGGTACTGACTTGACTATCAGTACATTCTGTTACTTACTGATTGGTACTAGACTTGTTTACTTGTCTATCAGTACATTCTGTTACTTACCACTGGTATATAGATGTTTACTTGTCTATCAGTACATTCTGTTACTTACCACTGGTACTGACTTGTCTATCAGTACATTCTGTTACTTACCACTGGTACTGTTGTTATATAGATGTTTACTTGATCAGTACATTGTTATATAGATGTTTACTTGACTATCAGTACATTCTGTTACTTACCACTGGTACTGACTTGTCTATCAGTGTTACTTACCACTGTACTGACTTGTCTATCAGTACATTACTGTTATCTTACTGTTATTGACTGTTATATAGATGTTTACTTGTCTATCAGTACATTCTGTTACTTACCACTGGTACTGACTTGTCTATCAGTACATTCTGTTACTTACTGATTGAGGTGTTATATAGATGTTTACTTGTCTATCAGTACATTCTGTTACTTACCACTGGTACTGACTTGTCTATCAGTACATTCTGTTACTTACCACTGGTACTGACTTGTCTATCAGTACATTCTGTTACTTGACTGGTACTGATATAGATGTTTACTTGACTATCAGTACATTCTGTTACTTACTACACTATCAGTACATTCTGTTACTTACCACTGGTACTGACTTGTCTATCAGTACATTCTGTTACTTACCACTGGTACTGACTTGTCTATCAGTACATTCTGTTACTTACCACTGGTACTGACTTGTCTATCAGTACATTCTGTTACTTACCACTGGTACTGACTTGACTATCAGTACATTCTGTTACTTACCACTGGTACTGACTGTTTACTTGTCTATCAGTACATTCTGTTACTTACCACTGGTACTGACTTGACTATCAGTACATTCTGTTACTTACCACTGGTACTGACTTGACTATCAGTACATTCTGTTACTTACCACTGGTACTGACTTGACTATCAGTACATTCTGTTACTTACCACTGGTACTGACTTGACTATCAGTACATTCTGTTACTTACCACTGGTACTGACTTGTCTATCAGTACATTCTGTTACTTACCACTGGTACTGACTTGTCTATCAGTACATTCTGTTACTTACCACTGGTACTGACTTGTCTATCAGTACATTCTGTTACTTACCACTGGTACTGACTTGTCTATCAGTACATTCTGTTACTTACCACTGGTACTGACTTGTCTATCAGTACATTCTGTTACTTACCACTGGTACTGACTTGACTATCAGTACATTCTGTTACTTACCACTGGTACTGACTTGACTATCAGTACATTCTGTTACTTACCACTGGTACTGACTTGACTATCAGTACATTCTGTTACTTACCACTGTTTACTGTTGTTATATAAAACTTACTCTTTAAACTGATCTATGATCTTATATTTGTCAATCAGCTGATCAGCTGGTCTGGACATAGCAACAATGTTCTCTGTAATCCTGTCAACAAATCAAAGAATGTGTAACAGTGAGCAGGTTCTTATAGACTGTCAACAAATCAAAGAATGTGTAACAGGGAGCTGGTTCTAATAGACTGTCAACAAATCAAAGAATGTGTAACAGTGAGCAGGTTCTTATAGACTGTCAACAAATCAAAGAATGTGTAACAGGGAGCTGGTTCTAATAGACTGTCAACAAATCAAAGAATGTGTAACAGTGAGCAGGTTCTTATAGACTGTCAACAAATCAAAGAATGTGTAACAGTGAGCTGGTTCTTATATACTGTCAACAAATCAAAGAATGTGTAACAGTGAGCAGGTTCTTATAGACTGTCAACAAATCAAAGAATGTGTAACAGTGAGCAGGTTCTTATAGACTGTCAACAAATCAAAGAATGTGTAACAGTGAGCAGGTTCTTATAGACTGTCAACAAATCACAGAATGTGTAACAGTGAGCAGGTTCTTATAGACTGTCAACAAATCACAGAATGTGTAACAGTGAGCTGGTTCTTATAGACTGTCGAAAAGTCATTGTAATAAGTAAACATGTAGTACACAAGGCACAACATTCAAAATTTAAAATAATTTTTCATTTACATAACTTGAAACTGAAAGCCAAAATAAACATACAAATGATTCTTAAAAGTACATAAATTTAAGATTTCATTTAGTAAACACAAGAATGAAAAAATAATGAGTTCATGCACCTTAATTGTCTTCTAGCTTCACGATATAGATCTTAATATCAGTGTTAGTGGCAACAATTTGGAAAACAAAAGTGAAATTATAGAAACTTGAAACCTGATCTTCTCAGAATGGCTGTCATGGCAGCTATATATCTTCAATTTCAGAAAAAAAAACTTAAATAACAAAACTGAGTCAGAATCATATCAGGATCGTGTTAGGCAAGTTTGAGCTGTCTCCAAAAAGGGAAACTGAAAAGTTTAAAGCAAGTTCAGGAATACCATAACTGCATAAATCGGTTGGAAAATGTCACACATGGCTGCTATGTCTAACTTTTTGCCAGGTTGAAGAATAATTACACTTTGTCAGCCTCTTTTCCTTAATATCTCTGACAAGTTTCAGCTCAAATAGCTGATGCCAGCGGAAAAAGTAAAGTTTGTAATAGGTTTTTCAAGATGGTGACACTGATGACCCAAAAAATAATAAAACTTTAAAGGTCTCTAGAAAGTTAAACTAGATTCTAGAAGTGGATTTTGAGAATTTTGACAGTGGACAATTAGACAGGAAATGCAGAAGACTTACAACGACTGACAAAACACAACGACAACTGGTCGATCAAATATCTTACAAAAGGGTTATATAATATGATTATGATACAACATTCTCCAGGACACTGTTGATTTATTTTGCTGTTCAGTACCATAAAAGGAAGTTAACTTTTTCACAGAAATCAGAAAATATATGAAGTTAAAATATAAAAAATCACATGTAGTGATATATTTAATACTTGATGAGTGTAGCCCGGGCCTGAAACTTCCAATATGTAATCTAACTACTCTATCACATGTTGGGAGCAAAGTCATACTGAGACCATTCTTTATCTTACCAGTTGGAAAAGAGTCCCTTGATGGCCATTTTTTCTTTTGGCCACAAGTCTGGATTACAGTATTTGCATTTCTTTCCTCCACAGAAAATAGCACATATTTTTTCCTGAGAGATCATCCCCCGTGCCTGCTCTGTGAACTTGTTATAGCCTGCCTTTGGGTCTAAACCTACAATCAAATTAAGTGTGTGTAGATTCAGTGAGAAGTTGAACACATATAAGAAATATTTTCATCATTTATTCATTGTTCTTAATGTCAATCAAATATTCATATTGAAGTTTGCTATCAAATTCTGTAACTTCACCATTGTTTATGTTAAAAAGTAACATAGAAGTTAAAATCAAGAACTCTTGAATTTAAAGCTCCAGTTCATGTTAGCAAAAACTGAACAATAGAGTCTTTTTTAAAAGACCTTATACACTTTATGGAATGTATTCATTTAAACGCAATGCATAATAAATATCTATATACCTACATGTAAACCAAATTATTTTTTAAACAAAACAAGTCCAAATTGGAGGTTTTGAGAGATACAGATTAAATTTTTTTCTGTATGTTTCATAAAATATATCCATGATATATTTTACTTACGTGAACTTTGAGCTTGTTCCTCTGTCCAAACCAGTCCTTCTTCCCCAGGATGAGAATGCTCATCTTGGTCAGGCTCCATGTTTCTTATCTTTAGTTCTATATGAGAAAAGACATACATTAATGCTAGATTTACAAAATATAGAAGAAGATGGGGGTGAAGGCAACTTTGTATGTGTCTATATATAGTACAAAGTTAAAACGCTAGACATTTTGATACGACAGAAGTAAGGGGTGAGGGCAACTTTGTATGTGTCTATATATAGTTCTAGGTTAAAATGCTAGACATTTAGATACAACAGAAGTAAGGGTGAGGGCAACTTTGTATGTGTCTATATATAGTTCTAGGTTAAAATGCTAGACATTTAGATACAACAGAAGTAAGGGGTGAGGGCAACTTTGTATGTGTCTATATATAGTTCTAGGTTAAAATGCTAGACATTTAGATACAACAGAAGTAAGGGCTGAGGGCAACTTTGTATGTGTCTATATATAGTTCTAGGTTAAAATGCTAGACATTTAGATAAAACAGAAGTAAGGGGTGAGGGCAACTTTTTATGTGTCTATATATAGTTCTAGATTAAAATGCTACAAATTTAAACATATATATCCCGTATGGCAAAATAGAAATAATAATGTAGGCCAACATCATATGAATTATAAAAGTGCTAATGGACCAATCATGACACTTAAGTCATTGGATTTAAATGTTTATGATCCTTCACACGACATTTTCAGGTGAATAAAATGATATAAGTGTATGCTAGTATCCACAGCCCATTACAATCCCTCAACTGTGTCTTGTACTTCAGCACTGGTTAAGTGGAGGACATTTAAAATTGATCTTTTATAATACTTACTCAGTGTTGTAAAACATATTCATTGCAGAATGCAATTTGTCATTGCTGTTTAGGTCTATGTATCTTCAATATACAATTAGAACCATTTAAAGCTAATTAAAGTTGGGGTGGTAGTATCTTGTAGAATGTAAACACTGACAAAGTCATAATGTTAAAATACGTTGTTAAAGTCTTTATCAACTTTAACATCAATTGCTGTTTACTTTGTCATAATCCACAGAAAATTCAACTGGTATACAGTATTTTGATATGAATGCACTTCATTGTCAGTTGAGTTACACCGAGATCCTAAAAAACCTTGACATGGGAGGGTGACAAAGGATTGGTATTGGCATGTTTTCCCAGGTGTTGAATAAGGAATCCTAGAGGGATGTTGGTACATAAAACTGGGTTTTTTATCTGTTCTTTAAACGGTTGGATCTTTTGCTTTCCATTCTTTCCTTTGTTCTTGCTCTTAATCATATGAGATTTGGAAATTTCTCTGAAGAAAGAGTGACAGTATTCTTTAATTGTCAAATCAAAGATAGTCCCCTGTTTCTCTGATCAGTCAGAAAATCCAAATGACAAAACTAAGATCAAGGAGATCCTACATATTAGATCTGAAGAAAACTTCATATCCAGTATTTCTTATGAAATAGTGATAACAAATTTTACATGGTGAAAGTCCTAGATGGCTGCCTTTCAGTCATTTTGTTCACCTTACAAGTTTCAAGATCAAAACGACATAACTAGAAGTCGAAGGCAACCTACAAAGGAAATGTGAGAATGGTCCAACAAGTGCTTTTCAAAATAACAAACTTCCATTGTCAAAAACCAAGATGGACTCGGTCAACCATTTTGTCATAATGACCAATCCTAAAGTTAACAGGGCACAACTAGAAACCAAGAGAAACTGTAAATAAGAAATTTGAGAAAGATGAATCCAGTTCTTCTTGAAAACTAATAAAAACAGACTTTCTTTGTCAAAATCCAATATGGCCCACTGTCAGCAGTTTTGTTTTTTTGTTTAGTTCCAAAATCAAAAGGGGAAAAGGGGAAAATATGAAATTTGTTCTCAAGAAAATGTGATAAGGAGAATTCTACAGACAAACAATGGCTTGGCAAGGGACAACAGACCACATACCACAGATATAGGGCAATTTGAATAGCCATCATACCATCATACCTTGTCACGTTTTGTGGTTGGCTAAAAATGAATAAAACAAAATTCTTTAACTTTGTGCCTTCAATTTCACACTGAAAATAAGACATCCATCCAAAAAGCCTTTATTCTGATTATCAAAAAATATTTCCAAAACTTCTGAAAATACATAGCATTCTGCAAAATGTTATGATTGAGAGTTTCTATCTTTCACCTACAGCCTACTTATCTATAGGAATGTGATCAAGCAATTATGATTAGATCAACCCAATACAACACAGTATTCAACAAAAAAAAACAAATAATATTATTAGAATATTTCAAACACAGCTGAAATAAAGTGTTCATTTTCATCAAATTATTTGCTGTAAGTATGATGACCAACACTGATAAAATTTTTGTCTTCATTCATCTTAATGATATAGTGAATATATTGGCAAAATGTCATCTATCATAAAAAAAAACAATGCTGGAATCTACAATTTCTTTTTACCAATGTTAGCATGTGCATAAACAAAGAATTATTGCTAAATTTTATGAATTTCTTACTTCATCAGTTTACTTTTCAACCTGAGCTGCCATCTTATTTCAGTCTGGAAAGCTCAGTCAAAACATGCCAGTTTAGCTACTGAAAATAACGATCCAAAACAAAAACAAAACTGGGTACATGTAATTTGTTTATTAGTTTGACCAGTTTTATCCATTACAATGGAAGAAACAAAATGGCACATGGTTTATTACAGGTAAATATTGAAATACTGTACTGATACCAACAGCGTTGCTATGGACCTAGTCTATTACGTCAAAAAAATAAATGAAATATATGTATGTATATACTTTACTAGCACCAAGAGAGGTGATTGCTGCTAAGGACCTCTGGTCTGTTACAGGTAAAAATTGAAATATTTTAGTCACAATAGTAACAACTGTTGCTATTAAAGGGCTACTAGTTCCTTTATAAAATAATAGACTACTGAATACCAAGAGTGTTTCTAAAGGACAGATATCAAAAGAGATTATTGTTGTTAGGAACTCAAGATCTCGTAAATTACCGCAAAAACTGAAATGCTGTAGTAAGTCAAGCAAATCATTGCTAAATAAAAACTCCTGGTCTGTTAAAAAAAAAAAAAAAGAAAAAAAATTGCTCAAGAAGTACCAATCGGAAAGTACCAACACATACACTGATAACTGTTGCTAAAGACCGTATTACGCAAACAAATTAAATGCTGCTCTGTAAGACATCACATGAATAATTTGGAATACGGAATTAAGGAGTTCCATACTAATGGAGACCAAAGTTTGACTCCTGAAGACTCTGGAAATGTGTTTGGTTAGACTGTTTGGTGAGAGTGTCAGTTAGGGGGATATCATTAGGTTGTACCAGGACCATTTCAAGGTTAAAATTGTAGCACTGTAAAAACTCCTTAAAACTCCAGCCTCACACTTACTTGGCATGGTGACTTCCTTGTGTTCCCAGCAGTACCAGTATGTAATAAGATCAGGTCACATGATCTATACAGTAGGATAGCTAATAGCAATTGTACAGCTAATTTTACACTAAAGCACCTTGAAGAACCACCAGAAATATGAGGTTTCCTTGCAGCCAAGTAATATATAATTACTGTAGTGTTATCACCTGGGTCAATAATACATAATTGATGCACATAGGCAGGGCATCAAGCCAGCACTTTCTTACAGTCCAGTATAGCAGAATCTCATGGCCAGATGAGATATATATATATATATATAGCAGCATCAAGGTGTGTGTGATTCAACAGGTACCATCAAGTTAAAAGGTAATCTATTACAAATGGTATATTGTGTTAAGATTGGGCTTTGTTTCCATAACATGTGCATTATGCAATAGACTATTCAAGTAAACAGTTGATTTCTCATTTACATGCTATGTTAATATATATTTACATTCAGGAAGTAAATGTGACAGCTTGTAACAATCAGTTGATTTTCTGACAACACATGACCAACTTATAAATCTTGTGACATAACCCTATAAAGAAAGGATTTTTATGTCTCTGTATTTAAGTCTTGACAATAATTATATTGTCAGTGGAAACAACTTCAAGGGGTGGGGGGTATTTGTTTTGTTTTGTTTTGTTTTTTTTTTGGGGGGGGGGGGGGGGGGGGGTGTTTGAAATATATGAGATTAACAGTTTTAAAACTAATGATATAATATATGGTTGTTTTCCTTGCTGATAGCAACAGACCAGTTTTCTATTTAATCAGAAATGTCAATACAGGAACACATTAAAACGTCTGTTTACTTTAGCAATAAATAAATGCTTGTGGCAAACAAAGCCACAGATAAGTTGGACTCATAAATATTTTCTCTGGAACAAAATCAATAACTGGCAAAGGGAGAAAAATAATCAGAAGAGGCCCAATGGGCCTTAATCAATAACCTGCAGCTTACACAGAAAACTTTGTTGGTTCAATTTCTGATATCTGCGACCTTGAAAGTCAGTCAATGTCAATTATTTGAACTAACCTGGTAGCCTTTCATCCCATTTTTCTAATGCTATAAAATTTTGGTTATTAAGAAGAAGTTGTTTGAAGATTTGAACACATTTCATCCCTGTTACCCTGAAAGTAGGTCATAAACATCAATCAGTTGAACAAACTATGTAGCCTTTTATCCCAGCTTTCAAGGCAAGTCTTTGAACAAACTTGGTAGCCCTTGACTCCAGCATAATACAGGCCCAACATCAGCACCCTTGGCCATTTGATTCTTCAGAAGAAATTGTTTTAATATTTTAACATGTTTCACACCTTTGATCTTGAAAACAGTCAAGGCCATTCATTTGAACAACCCTGGTAGCCCAGCATGTTACACAACTGATATCAGTATGGTGATATCCTGAGCATCATAGTTATATAGCTATTGATCAGAAGAGGATTGAACATCTTTTAACACATTTGACCTGTTGACCTTGAAAGTACAATGTAGGTCGAAGTCATTCATTTCAATTACACAAACTTATTAGCCATTCATTCCAGTATTTTACAGGTCCAATATCTGCATCATTAGTCTGCAAGGCTTATTATATAGTTTTACCATAACAT